AACGATGGCTGCTCAAACGCAAACTGACAAAAGTCTTCACGACGACCGGTATCAGTGGTCTCGACTAGAGCGAAAGAGAGGGAAAAGGCACTTGCGATAGGTAACGCCAAACAACTACTTGATCTTATCAAGTGTCAAAAGGTAAACGATGAGCTAGACAATCTCTGAGATAAACATAGCTTTAATTAGTCTTTAGGAAAGACAACTGGAACGTAGTAGGGAAGACGCTGTGGAGCAATTTAACTGGCTAACTACCACGCCCAATATTCCCAGCATCCAACATAAATCTGAATGGGATGCAAACATCGGCTGTACAGCTGTGGCTGAAGTTAAAAAGACTGTTTCTAATTTGAAACGTGGCAAAGCCGCAGGACCTGATGGAATTACTCCAGAGGTATTTAATGACGATGGAGGCAGTTTTACTGTCTGGGTCACCTAAGGTATTAAGCAACCTCCAGTGCATGTATAAGTCACTGATTATGCCGGTATACGTGAAAGAAGACAAGTCTTCCTGTGACAATCATAAGGGGACTAGCTTGAGCAATATGGTATCTAAATCTCTAGCCTCAATAATCATATGTAGACTAAGCTGTGCTCGGGAGGAGCAAACGCGAGATAAGCAGACAGTCTTTAGTCCAGGAGGGGTTGTACCGACCATATCTCCACCCTTCGACAGAATCTGGAACATAGTTTTACTAACCTGCGTCCAGAAATCATCATTTTTCTTGACCTGAAAGCTGCATTCGATTGCATCATTCTAGGATTACTATGACAATGTTTGCCTGCGAATTGTGTGTCAAAAATGTACATCTCGGTAATCAAGGCACTCTAATCGAACTCATGCAACCGTGTAAGGGCCTATGGAGATTTTTCATCTGAAGTTATGACAAGCAGTGGTGTTCGTCAGCGATGCGCACTGTTTCCATTGTGGTTTAATTGCATCAGAGATTAACTAGCCCTAACTGACTTAAGTCTCGGGGATTGACTTGTTACCAGGGAATAATCCTTTGAATTTAGAATATGCGGATGATTTCGTCCTTCTAGGTGAAAACGCTAGCAATATGCAGAATCTCCTGGAAACCTTGTGTCGAATTCTCTGCACCCGTAGAATGTTAGATGAAGCTTCATGTCTGGACTTCGCCGTCTCCTAGCTTAAAGATAGTCAGTGAAGTGGTACAGCGTTTTGACTACCTCATTTAATTAGGAAGGTACATCAGCCTCAGAGGATTGGTATCTGACGAAACTCAAGCTCGGATACAGATGGCTCATTTGGCATTCACCATTCGGCTGTCGACCAAACGGCATGTGTACTGCCCAGCAGTTTGCTTTGTTCTTCTTCATATCTGTGAGACAAGGCCATTTAAATTGGAAGATATGAAATGGTTAGCTATCTCTGATGACAGGTGTCTGCGTTCTATCTTACGTGTTAGATGGTAGAATAGTGTGAGTAATATTGAGGTTAGCCGTAGGCAAACATTGTCATAGTAATCCTAGATTGATGCAATCGAATGCAGCTTTCAGGTCAAGAAAAATGATGATTTCTGGACGCAGGTTAGTAAAACTATGTTCCAGATTCTGTCGAAGGGTCGAGATATGGTCGGTGCAACCCCTCCTGGACTAAAGACTGTCTGTTTATCTCGCGTTTGCTCCTCCCGAGCACAGCTTCGTCTACATATGATTATTGAGGCCGGAGATTTAGATACCATATTGCTCAAGCTAGTCCCCTTATGGTTGTCACAGGAAGACTTGTCTTCTTTCACGTATACCGGTATAATCAGTGACTTATACATGCACTGGAGGTTGCTTAATACCTCAGGTGACCCAGACAGTAAAACTGCCTCCATCGTCATTAAATACCTCTGGAGTAATTCCATCAGGTCCCAAGGCTTTGCCACGTTTCAAATTAGAAACAGTCTTCTTAACTTCAGCCACAGCTTTACAGCCGATGTTTGCATCCCATTCAGATTTATGTTGGATGCTGGGAATATTGGGCGTGGTAGTTAGCCAGTTAAATTGCTCCACAGCGTCTTCCCTACTACGTTCCAGTTGTCTTTCCTAAAGACTAATTAAAGCTGTGTTCATCTCAGAGATTGTCTAGCTCATCGTTTACCTTTTGACACTTGATAAGATCAAGTAGTTGTTTGGCGTTACCTATCGCAAGTGCCTTTTCCCTCTCTTTCGCTCTAGTCGAGACCACTGATACCGGTCGTTGTGAAGACTTTTGTCAGTTTGCGTTTGAGCAGCCATCGTTCCTCATTATATTCAGGGCCTGTAGGAATCAGTCTTCTTGCTCAATCATTTCGGATGAAGCCACAGAAATCCACTGACTTTTACTAACCTTTAGTTCTAGGTTATTAACAACCTTTGCAGCTGTATCTATAACTGACGGGATATTGTCCCAGGCTTCCTCAGAATGAGTCTTGCTGTCAATCTCAAATATGCGTTAAGCTATAAGTTCCTTGAATAAGGTCTCAATGTCCTGATTGAGTTGGGGGCTTACCGATCTCACCATCCGTTCAGTTGTAAGTATAAACGTGCACGGACCAGGGCTTGATCGGAATGTACACGAGTGTTTCAGAAAAAGCTACAGTCTCCCACCGAATTTCAGCAACGTTAGCTTGCCCCTATATGGCCTATTTGAGTTCATCGTTCATTTGATGATGGAGGTAACCAGGTCAGGTAATGTCTCTTTGTGTTTTTAGTTAATGCTGATCGGAATGAGATGATTGTCTGAACAGAACTGTAGAAGACAATTACAGCTGTCGATTTGTCAGCAGGGAACTGTGTAGGTGCCACCAACATACCTATGAGACTGACACATTCCCTATCAGAGCACTGAAGTCGCCTGCTAGAACGACTGTGTCTCTCTCGTTGGCATAGATGCACTCACTCTTTTAATTTTCCATAACCATTAAACCCTAATGTTTCATTGTGTTACTATTCTTTATTCCTCACATTTCTTTGGAATCTTTTATTCTTCCCTTTTGTCTTCCATTATGTGTTCCCTTGATTGTGGCAACTCGAACTGATGCAATTCTAGGCTGAAATCAGTCCGTCGGTCTGAATTTTATGGTAATGCAATTTCTTTGAAAGGTATCTATAATGCACCCCAAGACCTACAATCACATCAGAAATCTGTTATCAATTGAACCTCGCCTAGTTAACTAGCTCGCTAGTTTTCTAGCCGGTCCCAAACCCGGGTAAAGAGGCAGAGTTGGGCGTGAGGTTAGCAACCCAACACCACTATATCTTTCAAACCACTAGAGAAACTTCAACAAACAGAAAATATATCACAAATGCAAAAACTTCATATAAGAAACAATCCTATTCTTCGCTCGAATCGGAGAGGCGAAATGACACAGCAGGCTGGTGAAAGCCTTCACGAAGCCAGTCAGACAACCGACGTGTCTTCTCTCGACGAAATCAAGAGTAAGAAAGGGGACATGGAATGTCCGTACAATGTACGAGACTGGCTGGGAAGGCTGTCCAGGTAACCAAAGAGGTGCGAAGATATGGTACAGAAGTGGTGGGTATCTGCGAAAGCAGATGGAATGGATGTGCATTGACAACATTGTCAATTAGAGAGTCAGTAATCCACTCCGGTCTGGTCACCCAGACGACAACCACGAACACACTGAGGCAGTGAGTGGCTATCATCATGTCACCAGTGGCAGCCAAAGCTCTAATGCAGTGGGAACCAATCTCCTCTCACGGGATCATGACAGCGAGATTCAACTCCAAAGGAACGAAGGTAACAATTTTCCAATGCTACACACAGTGCTTCAAACAACACGGAACAAGAGAAGAAGGAAGATTTCTATAGACAACTGCAAACAGTAATGGACAACATCCCGAATGGTGACATCAAAATCCTCATGAGTGATATGAATGCAAACCAAACTGGGAGCAGACAATACAGGAAGTGGACCCATCATAGGTCGAGAGGCTCTCACCTGACGAAATGAATGAGAACGCAGAACTCTTTGCAGATTTTGGTGCTTGACCATTTTTTTTTCCTTCACATTCCCCAGTGGAACATAGGGCTTCAAGCTAGTGGCTTGAGGTTTCTGTAGCAGTGTTTATTTTACGGGATGGGGTTGCTAGCCTCACGCGCAACCTTTCCTCTTCACCAGAATTATCCATTGCTTAATTAGGTAAAGGAGTGCTTCGGCCGGGTGTCGAACCCCGGACCATATGCATGGTCGGCGAGCGTCCTAACCGCTGTACCACCGACGCACGCTTGACCATTAGAGTATCTGAATTCAATCGATGAATTTGTGATGCTATGTCCATTAATATGGCTAGCACACTTGTTGGGCATACCAAGGTATTGCTTTCTTCGACGGGTAATGGTGGCAACTACACGATTCATTTGGAAGCGAGTTGAGGTTGTCCAAACCAAAAATTGCATCCGCCCATGAAGTCTCTAACCGTTGGTTTGAGTCACGTACGGATTTCAAGTTTGATGGGGATGTTAAGAACCTACAGATGGAGACTATTGGAGATATGACTCAAAATTTTTACAGATGGTGCAAATGCATGCACTTTTTGTGATCTACCATGTCATGTTTTGTGTGTTACTACCCTCTCCTCCGCGCATATTTTTGCTTACTATATTCCTTTTGAATCTTTTTCTCTACGTTTGTATGCTACATGGAATATAGTAACTTGAACTGCTGAACTTCTGTGCAACTTTCTTTGTTGAAATTCAATCAAGCACATTACAACTCACTTCCTATCCCGAAAGGGTGGATTACGTGCTTTAACGATAACTGAATTGCATTGATCGACGAACTGCCTAGTTTGCATGATGCAGTACACGAACTGCAACACAATGTATACTTGTAAGAACCACACTTTATCATTCATCTTACTAAAACCACTAGGAACAGATAGATTAGGACTAAGTTTACGCTGGATAGATTGAAGGTTTTTTATTTGCATGAGCGCTTGAACATCCTTATCACACATTATATATGAAATAACTAACAATTTAGAAGATCAGATTTCATTCAACCTTATATTGTAATATTGTACAAAAGATCATTTTCAAAGAAAATAAAGAAAAGAACAGTCACGTAATGACTTTCATTTGACAACTAACAATAAGCTGCTTCTTTATTGCAAATGTAGAAGGAAAGAATTAAAATATTATTTTGATTTATCACAATAAAACCATATTATTTCATAATAATAAACTTTATGAAAGAAAGAATGATCAACAGAATTCATCACCATGTATTACACAAACACGTATCAAGTCTACTGAACATTTAAAAGCACAGAACTTATTCATCAATGTCGATAATAACAACAAGTTGAAACAGTTGTGAAAACGGGAGGAAAATAGCCAACACACACACACACACACAATAATAAGCAATGCTCAGATTGACAATAAACAGCTGAGATAACAAATGCTACCCCACTATAAAAAAAGAAAGGAAAACCCATCGTCTATAAAACAGATCACAGTAGAACTGTTACATATATTATATAGTCTTTAAGACGTATTACAACGGAGACAAATGATGATTGCTTCAAAAAAAAACATTAAATCTGTAAGGGTAATAATAATAACACTATTAATATTATTATTACAGTATGCTTCATCGAAATGTAGGCAGATATGATTATTCGGTTATTTGCATTCTACAAAGAATGCATACTTGTAAATATTTACCAAAGCCAAGGAAATCCATCACAGTGTTACGGGTTAAGAGGACTCTTACCTAAATGTAATGATGTCAGTTGACTTTTCACCTGATAAAATAAGTAAAACAAGATTATTATATTAAACAGATCGTTTACTAAAAACAAAGCAAACAAAAGCATCGCTTGAAATCAATACAATTTTTCATTCGTTAACCTATAAGCAACATGATATTGGACGGCTTACGACATATACACAGAGTTGGTTTCTCAGACCGAAGTAAGACGAGCGAAATTCGAACTTATGACTCACTAGATAAAAGTCTGTTGTTTAACCTAACGACCAATTCACGTCCACAGTGCTAAATACTTTCGTTTCAAAAAGATATACAGTAGAAAAAGGTATGCCCCATCTGAGTTTCGATATAAAACTTACAACTAACTGTACACTGAATGAAAACGATAATTTAATGATCATTGAAAAGTCATGAAGTGTTTGTCTGATTTCTGCGAATTTTAGATAAAATACAAAGCTGAGTCAATTCTAACAAGTAATTCACCTGACCTGAGTCATTAAAACTCAAAGAGTCAAGTTTTAAGGACAATCTTCGAAATTTTATAATGACAAGTTTTATCTCAAAAAAGTTACCTGAGATAGATATGCCTCATGGTTAGACACTAGATTTGTTGGATGGGAAACATAACCTCCAAATGTTTGGTTTGACGAGGGTTGATTTGTGCTCCATGACTGAGCTTGTGGAGTCATACACGGATTGGGGTTACAGTTGAAGGCAGACGCTCCAACAAATGACCCGAATTGATTTCCAGGAACATTTTGAGCAGGTTGTTGCGGTACAGGCGAGTAAAATGAGGAGCTGTTGTCAGGCCATACAGCGAAATTAGACGATGCAGGCTTCAAAACAACACGTAACGAAAAAAATCCTTAGACATACACTGGTTTGTTCAAATTCATATAAAAACCATAAAATTCGTTTAGTAGTTGAAGTGAATTCCATATAAGTAGATATAGGATTAATATTTGCTCAGAATTACAAACTTGAAGTATGCTTCTGAAGATAAGTAGTTAAGAACTCATTCATTTTAAAATCACTTACCTCGGAGCAACCTTGTGTCCAGTTGTAACATTGACCTACTTACTTTTAAATGAATCCGCAGTTAGTTACTTCGTTTCCTCCGACAAAAACAGTTGCCATACTGCCTCCAAAGCCTCAGGATGGTCGGGGGTGGGTGCCTTGCGCTGCGGGTTGGCCACCCCTCCGCACATCTCTTGAAATGCTCCCATATGACCGGGAGTCTTACATGGCCTTTCCTGAGAAAGTCCTACTCACTGCTTTCACGTGGCGGAGGTGCTTTTCACCAAAGTGAGAGGGCGAAAGCGGATGCCCGGCGCTCTTCACCGGGCTGACTGTCCACTGGATGGCAGTCTAGGGGAGATGGCTAAACCCTGATTCCAAACCTCCAACGACTGGCGTATGAAGCTCACTGGAGCTCACCGGCAGACATATGGACAAAGGGCTTGTTGGATGTCCTGGATGCCTGGCCCCATTCAAAAAGGCGTATGAACCTAACTCCGGTCACCGGCTGCCAATGGATAGTGGACTCCCTACTCCACTCCTACTGCCTTGTAGGTCACACTTGGTTGTGTAAAGGCTAGAGCTGCACTCTCAAACAAAAGGCCGAGCGATTCTGGGGACATCACTCGTACCAAATTCCCATGAAACTTCATGAACTCTCTTCATCAGATCGCCGCGCCTGGGTAGCGATGATTCGAGATGTTCATGAAGCTGGCTCATGCTCCCGTAGGAGATAGCCGAAGTAAAGTAAAAGTAAGTATACAAATAGTACGTTACAAGCGATTTATTGACCAAGAGTATCTCATTTATGAATGAAATGTATGCCTATCAATGCAATTCATCCAAATTGTATGTTGTCACCTAACAAAGGAGGAGAGTTCTTTGCAGCAGTTCGATTCACTCCACTTAACAACCATAAAATATCGCTTCTGAAGGCAGGAGATAGTGAGGTAATAGTGGTTTTTTAACAATAGGTTTCCTGTTTCAATTTCTAACAAAGTGGTAGTATCGCCGTTTATGGTAAGATCAGGAGTTAAGTGTTCGGTAAGAGGAGGAGGTCAATTGATAATCTAGAGCTGCATAGATTGAAATAACTAGGATTTGTGTTACGGATGCAAAGCCGTCACCTTCCTAGATAAGCACTGCTAACTGATAAAGAATTATCATATAAATGGTATCAGTCTATGAAGTATTTGACTGTTCGCTTCGATCACGTGAGGCGTTAAGAACCGATGGCTGGAGGTGGTTGGTGACACAGCTCATAATCATCCTCAATCGAGCAGACACATCCACTCTTCATGAATTCCCAGATCTATCAAATTGTCCCTATTATCTATGTACTTATTCTTTCTTCTGTACATTTCCGTTCATTATAGTTCCTATGAATTGTTTTTCTCTCTCTACATTTCTGTGGAGTTAATGAGAGGTGGAAAAATTCTTTGTTGGAAATTCAGTCAATCAGGATAAATGAAACCTTAATAAATAGAGTAGTTTTCAATCCTGTGACCAACTAGATGAAAACTGACTACCAATATGAATATATCTACTACTCCTTCGCTCTCAAAGCTATCAAAAACACTTATTAACACCTCTGTAACATACCTTAACATTTAAATTTCTCTTTACAATTACTGATTCCAAACAGATGCATGAAAATTTGAAGCCACAAACCTCTTAATCAGGACACAAAAGATAACTGTAAGAGATGATGGGATATTCTAAGAGATGTTACTTAAAATCAATTGAAGGGACAGAGAGAAGTTCGTGACTTATGCTGAATTACAACGACACACAGTATATTTTTATTTTCTTGAAATTTTGTCTTTCCCTTGTGGTAGTTTTGCCTCATGCTAACTCCCGATTCAGTATTCCAATGAGAAATCTGATAACTTGGACTGCTAAATATTAGTGCAAGTTTGTATGTTATTAATAACCGTTTATTAATCAGAACCAATAATAAATAAGCTTTGATAAAATACAAACTTTTGAAAGTACTCATTTCTCTTGTAAAACAGATAATTGCTTAAAATTCTCACATTTCTTAATATATAATATGAAACTTCACACAAAATATGAGAATTTATTTTTACAAATAAATAGTGCACTAGTACGAGTTACTACTAATCCTGGGCAAATTACTGCTAATTTGTATACAATTATAAAACACTATGTTGTACATTGTCTATATTAGGCATAAACCATTCTATTCAATCACAGAAAAAGTGACAGAAAACCTACTGAAAATACCTAACAAATAGCCTCATAGAATTATACCAACTCTTTACCTACTTTCGGTGTGTACAGTTGTAATAATCACAGATGAATAAGAATACCTACTTCATTTATCCGCCACATTTGACATAAAAGTGTAGGTGGGAATACAAACCGGTTACTGATTTACAAAATGATATGCTTACAATTCAATGACAATAGTCAGCATGGTTCCGAATTCCGGTAGAACCAGCCTTTTACAAATACAATGCAGGATATCAGGTGGGCCACCTAAATTCAAGGCTACATATATAAGCTAATATTGCGAAGAGCATTTAATGATGGTTCTATCTTTGTATTAGACTAAAGAAGTAAAATATTTTATATCTATTAAACGAAATACTATTTCGCGTATTCATTGAATTTGTAACCTACATCGAAAACGCCTAGTAACATCTTTTCCCGAATAGGTGGGACAACGGATCTTACCTGTCGAAAATTGATCAATGTGCGCAAGAGATTCAAGTAGTGGATTTCAATATTACTCGTTTTATGTCATGTAACGTTAGTGAGCACCACATGAAGAGAACATTCATGGATTATGTTATAACTGCATTGAACTGAATGAGAACCATAGTCACTTTGTTATTACTGTACCTGCTAATTTAGGCAGGATCCTATCAGATTATGCGATCAGAATCGTACATAGTTTAACAGTTCATTCCTGAACCCAAACGATAGGTAGGACGGGTATAAGGCTACGGAAACTAGAAAGTACAGGAAACATAAAACTAAACTTTCTGCTAGAAACGGGAAAAACCCTAAATGTCATGATAGATGACAGCGGCTGGTGTAAACCTTTCGATAAGCCAGTCGACAGATGTATCATCTCTTGACAAAAACAAACGGAAACATGGAGACGTATGATATCTTAAAAATTTTCAAAAGTGAAAAGACTACAAAGACTCCATATGAGATGAGAAGTTACGGTGTAGAAGTGTTAGGAATCTGAATGCAGATGGAATTGAAATGGACTCTTCAAATCCGTAATCAAAGAGTCAATAATCCACTCTGGTCACCCAGACCACAAACACAACCATACTGACGGAGTCGTTACCGTCATCAGTCAGTCACCAACAGCATAAAAGGCTCTTATACAGTGGGAGCCAATCTCTTTGAAAATAGTGGACAGCAGGATTCAATTCAAAAGGAAAGGAATTTACAATTATTCAATGCTACCCGACCACGAATAACGCACATCAACTAAAAGACGAATTTTATAGACTACTGCAAACTGTAATGGAGAAGACTACATATGGTTACATCGAATTCCTAATGTGGCTGTGAATGTCAAACTGTGCGAAAACAACACGAGAAGAAAACTCATTACAGACAGAGAGGCTCCCAATGAAATGTATGAGTATGGAGAACTCGTCATCGACTTCTGCGAACTCAATTATTTGGCGATTGGCGGCAGCATGTACAACCACAAGGATATGAAAAACGCTACATGGATCTCACCTGACACACACACTAAAAACCAGATAGACTTCATCTCAGTCTCAAGAAAATGAATGCTCTGCCATCTGGACATAACATCGAGAAGGCGAGTAGATGTGGCCTCAGACCATTCTCCAGTGCAAAGGAACTTCAAGGTGAAGTTGAAAGCCTTCAAAGAAGCTGTGGATAGACCACAATTCCGGTTCAACACCCAAAATCTGAGAGATGTTTTCACTGCAGTCATCAGATCACAGTCAGAGACATTATTCAGCCACACTGAGGAAGCCTGTGTGGAGGAACACTGGGACTCTGTTAGTCATGTCTGTCTGTCTCTCTTCAACAAAGAACTTTGCACCTATGTGCTGTATTTCAAGTCACCACACTCCATGTAGTACACAAAGCCAGAGAATAAAGTAGAAGAAAAGCAAAGTAGAGAGAGTAGACAGGGGTAGTGGAAGAGATATTGAAGGAAACCTGAATACATGGCTTAAGAAAGAAGAACAGACAGGACAAGAAATGGCTCTACGGGCACATGGAAGCTAATAGAAGAGAGGAGAGGCGGATGGTGAAAGAGAAGATGACTCAATACAAAGATGGACAAGAGAAGGAGAAACTGAGTTCGATGTACATCGCACTGAATGTATAAGTGAAGAGGGGTGCTCGGAGAGACAAAAGACAATTCTTTGACACACTGATTGGCAATTGAATCAGAACAGGCCACAGGTGAGAGTGACCTGAGAACACTTTAACAGTAAACCACGTCTCTATCACGTAGGAAATCGACACAGATGAAACCACTGAAAGATGGTCAAGGGAACCTAATTACCGAGGAGGAGAGACAACGGAAACAATGGGCTGATCACTTCAAAGGACTCCTTAACTGACCATCGCCTGCAACTCGTCCAGAAATACCAGCAATGGTAGGCACAGAACTGCCTGTCACTCGACATCAATCCTCCAACAAAAGCAGAAGTCTTGAATGCAGTCCAGTTACTGAATGAAGGCTAGAAAGGCAACTCGACTGGACAGAATTTGTCGGGAAACTCTGTAAACGGATCCATATAGCTCAGCGGATCTCTTCACACTACCATCACCATCGCAAAGTTTG